AAGCTTCTCTAAACATGCAGATAGCTTAAAGTTAGTGAAACATTGCTTTTTAATGCTAAAGCTATATTTCCAGCGCTTATAATGACAAGTTGATCTAGAAATGCTTTGAGATGGGAGTTCTGTTTAAGAATTCATAGATACAGAGGGAGTGGTATTAATTATAGAGTCTGTGCCATAATAAAACGCTCACATAATAACCGGGGAACAAAATAATCAATGGCTTAATCTTCATTTCAAGCTTGATTCATATTTAAAACATTAGAAAATGGAAATCACTCTCGGCTACGAGGTCATAAATGGAATATGACATAGTTTGGGAAGGAATTTAAAGCTCATTTGAAAAGGGGGATGGAAGACGAAATTGGGGGCCTATTTAACTCAACTGAACCTTGATAATTCCAAAGCACCGTGTTCCGCTTGATCGGAAAAGCTGCCACCTTCTCCCTAGGGGGTTATTATTTTCAGCAAGTAAAACCGGAATAAGCCATAGGACGGTTACTCCTTCCCTCTCTCTCTCTCTCTCTGTCTGTCTCTATCGCCACCTCATTATTCATTATTTTTGAATCACTGTGCTGGAACTGAAGCGAGACAGTCAGCATCCATTCTCGGCCAACCATCTCTGTGAGCTGTTGTCCTTTCACAGTATGCTGGGTCATCCCTGCCTCCAGTTGATCTCTATCTTGTGCCAGTTGTGAAATGTTACAGATGCTAATTAGCTGTAATGTCTGCGACCCCGTTAAGAGTCCATTATGCGTCATCCCCCCGTATCAAAATGTTCATTGCAAGCAAATTCCTTCAAAGGCATTTGCTGCAATCTGTTGCTGCCAGCTTCCGTGGCAGGAGACAAAGCTGGACAGCAGAGGGACGACTGACAAGGCGGCTGTCATTGATGGAGTCTGACAGCAGCATAACAATTACGTTTAGGCCAATATAGGCTAAGTACGGTGTCAGGAGCTTTAACTAAGTTCAGCTTAAAAACAAGCCGGTGCATTTATGATCTTCCTAAATCACGAAGATGGCTGTGTGTGACTATTACTTGATAGAGAAACACTTTGAGATGGGAATTTTGAAATATTCACAGAAACAGCAGGAGTGATATTAATAAAAGCGCTAAGTGCTAAATTCAAATGCACATTTGTCGCCAAAGCTTTTCCGGAGAGTATTTGGGAATTGTTTTATCTCCATTTTGAATTCACAAAGCAGGCTTTGGTTTCATTAGAAACCTCTTGGAATTCCAAAGAGACTAAAAAATATGTTGGCTTTTTACTACATATTAAAATATAAATAAGATGACGTAATAGAAACACCTTAGTACCCCGTCCCGAAAAACAAAAAGAATTAAAAAGAATTAGTCAATTAATCACCATCCAGGTTATCACACATCTTAAATGACGTAACATCAAAAAAAAGCAAAAAAAAAAAACACATCAACAAAGAACATTTGTTTTTGGTAAACCCTGAAAATGTTATAAAACGAAACAAAGAAGACATCAGTAGCAGAGCACAAGTGAGCTCTTTTTGGTGTTCTCCTATGTGGAAGGGTGGAGGAATACAAGGGGGCATCATAAAGACAGTATAATTAAGCTGTGAAATGAACTCCAGCATTAAAGGCCTGCAGCTGTCTGGTTCATACTCACCCTCCTTGGATGGGCGCCGCACCTCTGCGCTCAGATTGCACACCTGCGCCGTGCGCACCTGAGGAGTCAGGCATCCTTCGGTTTGGGGATTTAAAGGCAACACCACGTTACTGAGCATCAGCACGCTCTCAGATTCCCCATCGCCTAAATGTTGCGGGCAGGTGCATTTAGCGTAGACTATTCCACACGATTCAGCTTTCTCTGCTTTCAAGCAGTTTTCCAACCACGTGCATAACACCTGACATCCAAACTGACTCGGGCTCGCCTTGTTTAAAACCACAAACTCCACCACAGACCTTTCCTCGTCCTCTGTCTTCTTCGTCGTCAATCCGTTGTAGTCGTAAGGAAACACTCGCCGGAGCTGCACAAAATTTTTGTCGTAATGCAAAAACACATTGATATTCTTGGCGTCATCACACAGGTGCACAATGGACTCGTTGATCCTCAGCAGCTCGTTGATCTTCTCGTGGGAGAAGTGGTCGAACTGGTAAGCCAGCAAGGAGAATTCAGAACAGCTAATTTCTCGTTTGTAAAGTTTTAGGTAGATGCTGTATTTGGTAGGATCTGGGTTCTCCAACGTCCAAGTGCAGTTTGTGAAGTTCTTGGGAAACATTTCACTCATCGAGTAGGATCCATAGATAACTCCTTTCACCAACGTGGAACACCAGAAATCTTGGGCACCAGTATATCCAAACATAACCAGGAGATAGGTGGAAAATATATAAATCAACAAATTACGAACAGCCTTCATCCTATGTCATTTGGCCTGCAAGAGAAACAGAGGATGCACTGTTTATTGTCAGACTATATAATAATGCTTTGTCAAAGAATTTTAGCCTAAGATGAGATTTGTCTTTGTTTATCACACACTCACCTACATTGTTCTTTTGCACAGCTTATTTTCTACTATAAACTACCATCTAGATTTTACAGAGATTCAAATGATTCATTCCATGGGAATGTAGCACATTTCGGATAAACATTGCCACCTTGTGGTGTTTAATAAATTGGGGGTAATAACTTTGGGCATCTGCTGTGGCAGGATAAAACACCATAATATTTAGCCATCAAATGATCATTTAATGTGATCATTACACAGTGAATGATCTTTACCGTGTTTAAATGAGTGACAGCGTCGGACACACAAATCATCGACATCCAATAGCTTTGTGATCGTAAAATTAAACCGCGACTCGCTCATATGAAAGGATAAAAGGCTGGCATTAAGAGCGCACCAACAAAAAAATGACATTTCACACCGTAAAACGATTTATTTTATTCAATAAGTCGAGAATAGCGTGTCGCAATTCTGCAGTGATCTACATGTCTGACCGCATAATAATCATCTACATATCTCAGTCTGCTCAGACACAGTTGGGATTTCCATTCAACTCTTATTCGCATACGTTTTACAAATACCGTCTTTTATATAATCATATCCGATTGCCTGGATGGATTATAATGTCGTGATCTGTGTGAGGACCACTTCCCTTTATTGAATGCAATCTATGCTTTCATGAGGAAAAAAACTTTGATTTCGACGTGATGCTTCTGTCTCCGTGAAGATCAGCTTTACGCACATCACCATAATGTGTGCAAATGTGTTGAATTCCTAAATATTCTAGAAGTCTGAAAGAAAGGCAGATGAGAGAGAGAGAAATAGATGGGGTAGAGAAAAGCTATTCGATGTCCTGTTTGCATGAATCCTGCAGGCAATGCAGCTGTGTGCAGTGTCACAGCATTCCCAAAACGAGCCTTTATTTTCATTCTTTAATCACCTTAAATGCGGCACTGTTTGTACGACTAAGCAAAACGTGTACGATGCATTATACAGAGACGTTATCCACGACTATAAAGGACGAGACAGCATTGGCGCACATTGTAACCATCCGCGCTACTTTTCCATCCTTTCCATCCCCATCTATGCTGTCGCGTCGCGCACTTGGACTTTTCGTTCTTTATGCTTCCAGTTTGTCGCGTCGCGTCACGATCAGCAACATGAACGGTTCAGGAAAACAATGTAGCCACACACACACACAAAACAAATGAATACAAAGAGCTACAACGAAGCGTTTTCATATCTATACTCTCTTACAAAACCTAAGTAGTCTACAGTGTCTGTCAATCGTGAGTCTTTTGATTAAGTCCCCAAATCGGATTTTATCCGATATACAGTCGGCACCAAACTCCATTCTATGTCATTTTCCAGCGAAACTCGTCGATCATCCTTTAACTTCGCACTGCCCCCTTGACGAAACGTTCGAGTCCTTTGAAATATTGACGTAGTTTGTATTGCATTAATCAGAATGAACTGTGGAACTCAGATCTTTATGCACTGAAGAGGGATAAACTTGGGCGAGGGCCATCTCATTATCGCACAAACCCATCTATTTTTCCGTCACCCTATTTGCCAGTAATAATCACAATAATAAACAGATCTTACCTTGCACTCTGAAAGCTATGGCTATTTTTCCCACATACTTGGAAACATCCTTTTTAGAAATGAAACGCGTCGCTCCCCTGCGAATCGATATCTCCCATTGCCGATGATAGAAGTCTAGAGCAACAAGATGGTCAATGAGCAAAAATGCATTAGACTCCAGGCTGGATCATCATCATCATCATCATCATCTCGCTCCTTTTTCCCCCACCTCACAACGTAACCAAGTGATGAGAGCGCAACAGAAGTGAGCAGGACTAAAAATGTTGTGAATCTCGACTGATCATTAGTCGTTGTCTGCCCGTCCCTCAAGAGATGCCCAGGTCGGGTAGCAGGTAGAGCGCAATCCCTGACGGATGGAGGATGCTGCTGACTCGCTGTGGAGTGAGATGGAAAGCGCTTTCTCGCCGAGCCTCAGGACTGGAGCTGCAATATCACGTCACTGCCACTAAGATAAGGCACGTATGGACGTCTCGAGCTGCGTCTCTCACCAGCTCGCCCCCCTTCCCCTGGATAAAACAGAAACTCTTTTTTATGGGGAAAATCTAGGCAGAGGAATGTCCCTCGGACTGGAACTGGAACGACACGCTTTATTTTCTGCAGCCGCCTGGACTATTTTATCAAAAACCAAAGGAATAATAATTAATAGGAGAGTCGTTTCCTCGGGAATAATGGTTTCGCACGGGATTTTGAGAAATGTGAAGAACTCGTGAAGTTGCTTCATCTTTATCTCACCATCATTAAGAACTGGATTTTTAAGCTGTAGAAAATACATTGGCTGTTTTTTTTATAACTGAAATGCTCGAATCCACTGAGTATATTGTAATTTTCTTAAAACTAAAATCACACAAATTGCTGAACTTGGAAGATGCATCGACGTATACAGGCGATATGACATTTGGATTCGAATTCAGATGGGACTGTGCAACTTTTTCAGATATAAACATGTTGATTTAGGTGTCGAGAGACTTGTGTTTGTGGCTGTCCGTTCAAGAACGCACCATGGAGATAACAGTTTCCAGCAAGAGATCTTAGGTACAGTTATGCTTTATATAACAGCTGTAGATTTTGTTATTAAAATGGAAATGAAATAAAATAAATTATGGAGAACACCTTTTTGTAATCTTTTATAATACATAATATTTTGATAAATTAGTAAATACAGCATCTCTCCAAAGACTTCAAAGATTACAAGAGAAAGCTTTATATTACATACTCAATATAAGTCGCAATGATGAAACTATGGACTTTTTAAATAAATTATAAACTTCTAAAACTTGCTATATTATGTAAAGATGATGCAGTCTGTCGAGATCTACATGCAATTCAGCTCAAAAATGTCAATTATATGAAATAATTTTATTACAAATGTATGTTATGTTAAATCTATATATAAAGTGACAAATAATGACAGTACTGATTGTCAACATGCCCCTCATAATTGATCACAGTGCAAAGCACATGCACAACATACTGTTTGTTTTTTTTTATTGCAAAGGAGTATGTTTGGGATACAGAGGACAAAATAGAGATAGATTTTCTCTCAGATCTTTATCTACATGGATCTCCATCTGCACTGATAATTTACCTTTACATGTTTCTTCTTTCAACAAAATGTTCTTTCTAATGGAAAGAGTTTCTATAGAAATGTGCTTAGAAGTAAGGGGGAACAGGGGTTTCAGAAATGTTCTTTTGTGAATTCTGAATACAATATATTAATTATTTCGCAATCAATTGGGGGGTTGTTCAGGTGGTGCGAAAGACCCATGACAAGGGTCTAGAATTTGTCTCATACATGAGCTCATTTGTCTTATTTTCACAGGCTATGACATCATGAATTGTGAAAATATACCATCAAAAAATGCTTTAAGCAGTATCCTCTGGTGGCTGTTGTAACTTAGTTTTGGCAAATGCAAACAATTATTTTTCATGAGTCCAACATCCAGCTGTGCAGGAAAACATACAATCTGATGTCAGTGAAGTCAACTTTCATTATTGTAATGTTTTTAGATAGACAAAACATTTGTCGAGTAACTTTTATTTAATCTTGAACCTTAATCTTAAAACAAAAAGTGATCAATCAGAAAGTGTATAAGAATAAAAAATTAAATAACTGAATTTTAAAACAGATTCCTATTTTTTCTAATGATAAGGGAGAGCGGGGTACAAAGTAACACTTTTTGGTTTTGGCCAAGTAATGAACAAAAGTAATGGTTAGACAAACCTTTTTATTTATTTATTCATTTTTTACCGACAACACAAAAGCCTCTCCTACAATTGAGCACAGAAAGTATGATCGCCAGACCAATGGTTTCTGTGCAGAATTGCCAAAAGTGCCAAGAGTAAAAATGTTACTATTTACGCCATCTGTGGAGCAATTTGTAACAGACAGAGGGTTAGTTGTTATACGTGCTTACAACGTCAGATTTCACACAATTATTTTAAATTAAGTTTACTTTAAATAGTACATTTCCTCAGTACTTAACACAATTTATTTTAAATTCTACATGGCACAGAATGTGCATTTATCTATTGGATAAATACATTTGGATTTATTTGCATTATTATCCATTAATATACAAATTTTAAAAAATTAAAAATTGAATTAATTTTTCAATTTTAAAATTCAAAATTTCGATTCGAAATTTTAAAATTCGATATTGATTTTGTTAGTTTAGTCTGTTATTTTTTTAAATCTTTCAAAATGGTTCCATTTTATTAATGGTTCCATTTAGCCTGTAAGACGATAATCGGATGGATGGATGGATGGATGGATGGATGGATGGATGGATGGATGGATGGATGGATGGATAGATGGATAGATGATAGATAGATAGATAGATAGATAGATAGATAGATAGATAGATAGATAGATAGATAGATAGATAGATAGATACCTTATAAATAGCAAATACCTTAAAAATCTGTTACATTTAACCATGTGTTACTTTATGCCCCACACTCCCCTAAATGATGCAATCATTTTGTATTTTAAAAATAAGTATTTATTCATACTTCTTTATTCTAAATCTTTTGGAAATATTTTTTGTACTAGAGACTAAGCCGAAGGAAAATTAATGAACATTTTTGGTACATATTACCACCCGATAAGCTAATCCAAAAATAGTGCTTAAAATGTCACTAAAATGTATTATTTAAAACATAATTAAATAGAAAATGAGGCGAATAACTGCAAAAAGGTCAGCTACAAGCCTGCTTTTACAGAAAAAAGCTTTGAATAGCATCAAAGAGATTTGAATTTCACCTAATTACAGCTATACAAATACATAGAATTAGCATTAAAATGAAATAAGGACATTTCATTCAGCGCTATAGAACTTTCAGTCCAATCAAGATGAATTACAGTAATGATACAGTTATTTGTGCCCTACATGAGCTTATTTGGCCTATTTTGACTGCTATGCCATCATGAATTGTGAAAATAACCCATCGACAAAAGCTTTAAGACCAAGCAGTCAGATCAAGGTCCAAGCAGTACTGATCAAGGTCATCTGCTATAATCACTACAATCAATAACAGAGAGAGCAGATGGTGCCAATTTCAACAATATTTACAACATTGTCACTGTAATATATACTGTAATCATCTTTTAATAATCCAATTATACACAAAAATCATAAGACAAAATCTCCAGCATTCTCAGTTCATGATAAAAACTGACAAATGACAAGCAATCAAAAGTACAACAAAGAGGTACAAAATGATTTATCAGGTCTGTTGGGTGGTGTCACACACTTTGTGCACTCATTGGTAAACATTGGTAATGTTATAACTTACATGAATGGTTGTGAGGATTTAATGGAGCTCTAGCATATATAACAGACATAAACAACCCACAGTAATATTCCTGCCGCACACAGATTAAATGATTCATATAATTACTAAGTTATGGCTGTACTGTCGCTCAGAGGTAGACGCTTCATCCCATGAACACTAATCAAGTCTTTCTCGTGTGTATTTAGCCTGTGACAAGGTCATTACAACATCAAACTATCTTGATCAGAGGAACGCTGACCACAGCCTGGAGCTTTCATCTCCGGAGGCTTTAGTCTTTATTTCAGCACGATAAACACAAGTATCCTGGTTTCAAAGTAAGATGGCACCACCATTGTGTCTTTGACCTATGAGAGTAGCTTCCATTATAGTGTGCTTTATGGGTTATGCCTTGGGAACTGTCCTCGTGTTTTTGTGTGAATCTGATTTATTTTTGAGGGAAAAAAGCGTCTGAAGATCTGCTCTATTTATGCCTACACAATGAGTGAATAAAACTAATAGACCGCAGGGTCAATGCACATGGGACTGGTTTTGTAGTGTTGTAATTATACTGACATTCATCCCGATAGCCTGGGAAAAAGCAGCTCTTTTGGCAAATTAGTGGCTATATCGTGGATAAAATCTCAATTATGACTTTTAGAAAAAGTAAGCATGACGGTCCATTCCTAACACATCAGTAATTCTATGATAACATATAAGTGACATACACATTTGCTAAAATGTACGACATGCTGTTAGATTGTGTTGATTATTCTATGGCTTAATGTGTTTACACTATTGAGCTGTCAATCAAGAATTCAAATTTCAAAAATGTTATTAATTATATGATGCGGCTACAGAATGGCATTTATGAGTTCAATATAATATTAAGTGACATTAATGGGACAGTTCACCCAAAACTGAAAATTCTGTCATCATTTACTCACCCTTTACTTATTCCCAACCTGTTTGACTTTCTTTATTCTGTTGAACACAAGAAGAAGATATTTTGAAGGAAGCTGAAACCTGTAACCATTTCCTTCCATGTTATTTCCAGCTTTTTTCAAAATGTTTATATTTTGGTGTTACTTAAGGGTAAATATGCATTAAAATATTTCATCACTTTAAATTAATACTTAAGTACATACTTACGTGTTCAGATTGAATTGAGCAACACTTTTGATGCCATTGGGCCAGGGTTTGGTTTTATGGGTAGATTTAAGGTGGGTTAATGTGTAAGGAATGGCTATCAATATACACTCACCTATCACTTTACTAGGTACACCTTACTAGTACCGGGTTTGACCTCCTTTTGCCTTCAGAACTGCCTTAATCCACCATGGCATAAATTCAACAAGGTTCCTCAGAGATTTTGGTCTAAATTGACATGATATCATCCCGGAGTTGCAGCAGATTTGTCAGCTGCACATACATGATGCAAATCTCTTGTTCCACCACATCCTAAAAGTGCTCTATTTGGTGACTGTGGAGGCCATTTGAGCACAGTGAACTCATTGTCGTGTTCAAGAAACCAGGCTGAGATGATTCGCGCTTTATGACAAGGCGTGTTATCCTGCTAGAAGTAGCCATCAGAAGATGGGTACAGTGTGGTCATAAAGGGATGGACATGGTCAGCAACAATACTTGGGTAGGCTGTGGCTTTGACACGATGCTCAATTGGTACTAATTGGCCCAAAGTGTGCCAAGAAAATATCTCCCGCACCCTTACGCCACCCCCAGCAGCCTGAACCATTAATATAAGGCAGGATGGATCCATGCAATCATGTTGTTGACGCCAAATTCTGACCCTGCCATCTGAATGTCGCAGCAGAAATCGAAACTCATCAGAAACTCATCAGATCAGGCAATGTTTTTCCAATCTTCTATTCCAATTTCGGTGAGCCTGTGTGAATTGTAGCCTTAGTTTTATGTTCATAGCTGACAGGAGTGGCGCACATTGTGGTCTTCTGCTGCTGTAGCACATCCACCTCGAGGTTCAACGTGTTGTGCATTCAGATATGCTCTTATGCATAACTGGTTATTTGAGTTACTGATGCCTTTCTATCAGCTCGAACCAGTCTTGCCATTCTCCTCTGACATCTGGCATCAACAAGGCATTTATGCCCACAGAACTGCCACTCACTCGATATTTTCTCTTTCTCGGACCATTCTCTGTAAATCCTAGAGATGGATGTGCATGAAAATCCCAGTAGATCAGCAGTTTCTGAAATACTCAGACCAGCCCATCTGGCACCAACAACCATGCTATATGTTTAAAGTCACTAAGATCATCTTTCTTCCCCATTCTGATTGGTTTGATTGCTTTGTTTGAACTGCAGCAGATCATG